ACCGGACCTTGAAGAGTGCGGGCATGAGGGAGGGGGGGGGGGTAGCAGCCTTACTCTGGTATATTCATCTTGCTGCCCGCGCGCGCTCAACACTCATCACGGCCGTGCTGGTGCGCACGCCTGCGGTGCCTGCGTAAGTACTCACCTGGTTGTGCTTGCCTACTTACCTTCTAGTCTTACTCTCTACTACTCTTCCATCTACTCTCTCTAGTTCACTCCAGTGACATCTCCTTTGTTTTTCTTATTATTTACATTAAAAACTGTCGAATTGCCTTCGACAACTTCCTCATTTAGTTCGTTCCACTCAGATACGACTCTCAGTGTGCGCGCGTGTTGTGTGTGTGTACGTGAACGTTTTGTGTATGTGTTGCGCGTGTACGTGTTGCGTGTACGTGTGCGGGTGTACGTGAGAGTCCTCGCACCTTGGAGTGCTTGCATGGCTCCAAGCCTCGCCTCTCCAACAATCAGCACGCACAATATTAATGTTTCCAAGCCTCAGTAATAATGTGCATGTCGGCCACGCTGAGCCTCGCCACCTGACCTACAACTGTAAAGTTACATTTCAACATTAACAAGTGTTGGTCACAAATATGCACCTCAGGAAGCACACTTCCTACAAGCACGTTTAAATTACTTGAGGAAACTTAATAGTCTCTCTCTCATTCAGTTACGGCCTTCCCAGAGTGGTATAGTGAAGGCTAGGCAGGGATAGGGTTATCTTGAGGTTATCTTAAGATGATTTCGGGGTTTTAGTGTCCCCGCGGCCCGGTCCTCGACCAGGCCTCCACCCCTAGGAAGCAGCCCGTGACAGCTGACTAACACCCAGGTACCTATTTACTGCTAGGTAACAGGGGCATTCAGGGTGAAAGAAACTTTTGCCCATTTGTCTTGCCTCGTGCGGGAATCGAACCCGCGCCACAGAATTACGAGTCCTGCGCGCTATCCACCAGGCTGCGAGGCCCCCACAGGATAAGGGTAGGATAAGCGCTAGTGGAAGTCATGATGAACGAGCCTGGGGCCACTTACAAACCCCACAACCTACAGTGTGGGGTTGTAGTCCATTACCCCCACATTCTCCACCACCCGTCTCCAACCACTTGGACTGGACGGTAGAGCGACGGTCTCGCTTCATGCAGGTCGGCGTTCAATCCCCCGACCGTCCACAAGTGCTTAGCTACCATTCCTTCCCCCCCCCCCCGCCCCATCCCAAATCCTTTTCCTGACCCCTTTCAACTGCTACCCCTTGATTGTTCAATAAACCCTTGAACTATATGTTTAACACATCTCTAACCCTGTCCATGGAGGACAGAAGAAAATGTATATATGCTGGTTAGCATTGTAAATGTGTGGCCACGTCTGTGGTAGAAAATAATAATAATAAAAAAAAACTACTATCCCGCCAAACACTCCGAAACTACGACGTTCGTACAACGTTCGAGAAAATTTTAACACCTAACCAGTTATAACAACCAATATAGCAAGTTGTAACAACGTTCTAATACGTCCTAAACACGTTAAGCCAAGATAACAACTTTATTACAAGTTGTAACAAGCGGAAAATAGAGACAGTTTAGGTTTGTGTTTCCAGGGATATAGCTGTAATGGCTTGGCGCTTTCTCCTGAAAATTCCCTCCACCACCCGCATCTCATTCACTCACACATCACTCTCAAAATCAATTTATTATTATTAACATCTTTATTGACAAAATTAATGACAATTTTGCCTAATCTGAGGATTTTGATAGTCTTATTAAAGTGAGGATATTACTGGTATTCACTGTCACGCAGGACACAGGGTCATACATAAGACAATAGGTCTAAATCAATGCGAGGGTTTGTGTGCTGGTGGCGCAGTTTTGACGGCTGGTGGCGCAGTTTTGACGGCTGGTGGCGCAGCTTTGAGGGCTGCTGGACACGTGTCCCGCCACACTGGTCTCCAAGATAACGTATCTCAACTATCAGTAGTCACTGACCACAACAACTCCACTCACTCACGCCCAACCATGCCCGCTCTTAAGTCAATGGCATTCAATCTTCACATTCTTTAAACCATATATTACAACTGAGCTACAACATGGTGGTAACTATCGCCTTGATTTATTCTTACCCAGCATAGTGTAACACCCACAAACAAAATTGGGTCTCAGGAGCTAACTTCTTGAGGAGAAAACCTCCTCTCACAATCACCCCCCTAGCCCTAAACACACACATACACACACACTTTCACACCTTCCAACCATCAGCACCCCCCCCCCTCACAACAATCCTCAAGTGAGCCACAATCACCACTTAGAGCGACCAGAGGCCCAGATTATTAAGACAATCACCCTATAATTAGCCGTCAATTCCCACAAGAACATTTAGCCTTTTACCCGACCCAACTTTCACTATACTGGATCTAATGATCTATTAAATTACACCTCCCTTGCAAAACCAAACTTCTATACTTACACTCTATATATTATATTATATATATATATATATATATATATATATATAT